CGACATGCAACGAGACAATGGGCCAACTATCCGGCCGCCGGATATCCGGCTATCCGGCCTAGCAGCTGGCCGGATATCCGATATCCGGTATCCGGCCAAACAACTATCCGTTTCATCTCTAGTTTAGGCTGTGCGTTGATAGATCACTATGTCAGTCAGTCAGTCTTTCATCAGACCTTCTCATTGGATTTGTCTCATATTTGGAGAATGTACTATATATCATGAGTAGAGCCTTATTTTAAAAGGATGCCAACGATTTTTCAAAGTCACCCTGTAGTTGCCATGGTTGCTATTTTGCAACAAAAACGTGTCTGATATGCTGTCTTCTAAAATTTTGTCTACGCCGTCATGTTAATCGCATTTAATGAGACATTGACACTATTTTGTCCCATGACGTCTACCTACAACGAGTTCTTGTTGGGACACGTTGTAGCCAGACTGTCCCATAATAGCATGCGTGAAGATGGCAGTGTTGTAACTGTACCTCTAGCATGAACAACTTTCGTCTTCGAATCGTTTGCATATTCGACAAAATTCGATACTCAACCTTCGAATTAAACGATAACATGACAATTTTGATTGTCACGAAACGATTCGAAGTTGAAAGTTTTTCGTGCTAGAGGTACTGTACCACGGGAAAGGTTACGGGAAAAGTTTGAAATTGATGACTTACCTTTTGAAGAGAACTATCATAATAACTTACCATCAACTTTATAGGTATCGCGTTTTACTTTTACCCATTACACTCACATTTGATTCTCCTTTATTCAGCTAATATCTCCATTAAAGTAGCTAACATTTCGTCCATCTCCATTAAAATTTCAGATGCGAGTCACTTTTAGCCTTAAGGTAGAGATCTAGCTCAAAACGTATCACTGCCCACGGCTATTCGGGTGGCCCAGTGACCTAGGCACAGTCGACAGTACATCAAACTATACTTTTTTGTAGCAAAATGGACTTTATTAACAACAGAATAAGATGCCACAGTGTTTATCTTGATGTGCTTTGGTATCAAGTGACAACTCGGCTTAAATCGAGATGAGGGTACAAGTAGGTAACTGACCTTCATAACTCGCAGGTCATTGTATCCACAAAAAAGGTAACAATTTTTCCAGTCCATTCAGCGCAATATGAAATCGTGTATTCCTGGAATTGGGAAACATAAATTTTCAGTATGGAATTCAGCGATAAAATCTCGAACAATTTTGTATGTCGTTACACACATTCAGATACGTATATTGTCAGTATTAAATGAAGCAATACTTTTGGTATATTAATACACCTCTGCCTGTAGTGAAATTATTCAGTTCTTTATTGTAATAGTAGGTTTCGTTTTCTGTGAATTGTATGTACGTTACTTCAATTCAGACAGAAATAAAAGCCTATCTACACAACAAGAACTATGGCGTAGGTACTAAGTACTCGTTTTAATTTAAATAAACTTAATTACCTAAAGTTAGTTAAGCAGTTGTAAGACTTTTTGATTAATTGATTTCACCTTTAACTAGGTCACAAAATATAGAACAATCCATTTCAATTATTCTATTAGATTGTCTTTAGTTTCACCCTGACATTATCCATTTGCAAAATCTTAGGTAAAAACCTTCGAAAACATTTTTCTGGTTACTTACCTAATCTGTTTCTAAAGAACATATACATATTTCATGTACTTACTTGTTTTAAAATAATTACCTACCTGGCAGACCCAAACTAAACGCTCGGGGCTAACGCTTCCCAACCTTCCCGGTCGAGTTAACTGCTGCACACCTGGAGGCCGTGACGTCATATCGACGCTCTGGTACTGACAGGGCGAACGCATGCTTTTCTCTCTAGAGTTTTCTTGCCTTGTCTCCTAAATAGTTTTATATCTGGCACTTAGCCAGAAGGATATCTTAGACTTGTCATGCTCACTAAAATGTCTCTGGGGTAGTGGCGTGTGAGGCGGGTCGTTACATTCCCTATAATATGGTCGAGTGAAGCGATGGCTGGTTCACACGTCATGTCTGTGAACAGGCGCTGCCTTCGGGGACTGGTCAAGGAATGATATACCTGACATAAAATATATGTATCAAAACGCAACAATTAACCTAGAAATTAGCACGGCACTAAAGAAATATATTCAAAACTGCCACGCGGTCTTGTGCTAGATGGGCGTCTTAAAGGCCACCTTCTATCAACGGGAGCGCGTGGTAAGTAACTTGCTTCTGAATGTATGTAACTTCCTACTTTTTTATATTTTTTCATATTTTTAAACCGGCAGACAGTGGTGACTGAGTTTGTTGCGGCGCTTCTTCTCAGCACTTGCCAAATGTTTGTCTCGAAGCGCTGGTAGGGCAAAAAAAGAATGAGACATGTATAGGCTCCTTAAGAGCATTTGACGATTTGCAAGAACTAATTTAATTAGTCTAAACAAATAAAGATAATTTTGATTTTGATTTTGATTTTTAACGCGGGGAGGTGTAAGGGGAGTGGAAGGGAGAGTCGCATTCCAGCGAGGTGCGCAGTTAGCTCAATCGGGTTAACTTAAAATACTCTATGCAGTCATGATCATGATGGTTTCATTTACCACGATGAGTTCTACATCAGAGAGTTGAACTGAACCTTCTACTCCAAAGATCTTGGAATCGATTTGAATCAAGATTCAAAGTGGTTAAAAATTAAAATCACTGTGTAGAAAAGTCATTTTTTTATCCACAGCGAGGAAGCTCTTGGCCTGTATCTCACTTGATCGTAAGTCAAGTCAGATCAGGCCGAAAGTGGAAGCGAGCTTCACCCGGAATCCTCAATCACGGAGGAACTGGCTATCTTACCTCTAACTGCCGGAAAACAACAATACTGTTAACATTGTTGTTATGGCGACAGACTTAAGTAAGATGGTGGCAGCTAGCCAGGCGGACTTAGAACAAGCCCTACCACCAACCAAACCGAACAGAAAAATCTGCCCCCACTTGGAATCGAACCCGGGACCTCTGCGTCAGATTGAAAATAATGATTAATAATGTGAGTAACACGAAATTCAAAAAAAACACTCTTTATTCAATCGAATCTACAAGAGTTAATTCAGTCAAGTTAAAAAATTGACTTCTATAAAAATGCTCTATAATTGAAATTCTTTTCAAATGCTTTACCTTGGCCTGGACTATTTCGACCTTCCAGACTATTCTAAAGAAGCCAGATAAAGTGCGCAATGGCTGATGTAATCCGAGTGATTTTTTAAAATTCGAAAGAGATCCTCTGTGATAAATGAACTAGATAATTCGCTGCGCTTCAGTATTATACCAACTTCTTTCTACCTCTTGTAGTTTTTCTTGTACATTATTTTATCTATTAGGTATACTTTTACTTACTTATAAAGTAGTTTGTTTGTTGTTAATTAGATGCGCTAATCCTATAAACAACTGGTCTGAATTGAAAAAATATGTTTTTTTTTTGTAAGTAAGTGCTATTGGAATGCACTTGCAATTGGAGCTAGTGGAGTACTCCAATTGCAAGGCAATGATTGATATTAGAACTGTATGATTGTTTAAGTTTTGTTAAAATCTTTTAGACTGCTAACAATGTATGATACGTAGACTTTAAAGCTTTTTGTTGTGTCTTCTTTACTGGTAATTTCTTCGAGATTATAGGGGTTTATTCTTAACAAGCGGGAAGTGGTTTCGTGTGCGAATCTTTGTGTGGTGAATCTAGGGCACTGAGTAAGTAATTCCCAGGTTTGCGGGGTTTGGTCGTCGCAGGGACAGCGGTCATCTGCGACGATATGGAAACGGTTTAGGTATGCCTTGTGGTAACCATATGTTTGTGTTGGATATGTCGCAGGCAAATTGTATGATTCCGCATTTTACAAACGGCGTCGTCATTTTACAAACGCTCGCTGTTCTGTGAAATGCCGAAGGCAAATTGGCGACTCGTTCAATTGATAAAATTTCGACTATGATTGTTGCAATAGGGTGACCATCATAAAACACATGTTGGATAAATCGGACCTTATTTCAGTAATTCAAATTCTATTCAAATAGGAAAAATTCGATCTTTAATTTGGTATTGAATTTTGTCTCGACTACCATGTCCACAGTCCCTATGAATATCTAACAATATTTATTTATTTGATCACCAACAAGGTTACATTTTAGCGTTCACATATCATAATAGTCTTTCATAGGTATGTCTTCCGTTGGGCTCTCAGGGCTGTCTTTTTTTTTTTCAGAATAAGATAGACCACATCGCCAAAACTCATTACATCATATTTTTTATACCATAAAATATTCCGCAGCAGTCCTCCGAGCGCCAGATTCCATTGTCACCTTAGCGTTTTTTACATGCCTGATAACCTCAAAAACTTTTTCATTTGTCCACGGCTTTTCACTGCTCCTATTTGTGAATCGTAAAATAAATGTCTTTAAAACAATAGATTTTTGTGAAAAGTCCTTTGAATACGTAGAATTTGCACTGTTTTCAATATTTTTCTGAATCACAACATCACTACTCGACGCCATTTTTCTTGTTTTGATTGGCAGCGCCTCGCGTGGTAAGAAAAAGAAATAAATACTTCAATTTGCCGCGGCATTTTGTAAACGGCGATTGAATTGGCTATTAAATTTTGTGGCATATTATAAAGTGCCAAGGCAATTTACATTTTGCCTTCGGCATTTTATAGAACAGCGAGCGTTTGTGAACTGACGACGCCGTTTGTAAAATGCGGAATCATACAATTTGCCTGCGACAGATACATATTAAGGACCAAGGATACGAGTATACCATCACGCTATGACCAATAGGAGCGGAGCATTCATGAAAATTATGCAAAAACAGGATAAAATTAAATATTCATTGGAAAGTGTAATTTTATTTAATAAACTAATTATAAATGTAATAAACTATTGAATAGGTAATGAGATTATCTACTTAAATTAATCGGATCATTACGTTTATTTAATTTAAATGATTCAAATTTTAATTTTAATGTTATTCATAGGACCACGGTTTTAAACCGCTACTACATATTTATTATTTCCAAAATTATTTCTTCATTTGATTCATAACTGCAAAGCCTTTGTACGTCCAGTTCATTACCTGTAAGAATAATTGTTGATTATTATTTTGTTAACGAACCACATAAAATCATATTTAAACACAATAATTATTATAATAAATTGGTCTCGTTCTTTTGTCATTACTTTGGGGTAGTTAGTATTCAAAACATACAGATATCTACATAAAATTAAATTGTAACTTTACCTTTTCTTCTAACGTTATTAAGTACTAACTAACGTAATTAAACTTTGTTCTTTAAAAGTTTGTTGCAAAGTTATTTATCTCTGTTTCTGCGAACCATTAATTGAAATATTCTTATAATAATTATATTACATTATTATTTGATTTTAATATTACTAAAAAATTAAAAGGGGTTTACAAAGGTAATAAGGAAATTGTATAAGAGATTTATAGAGAGATAAGTAAGAGGTTTTCATAATTTTAATGAATTTTAGTCAAATTAGACCCCACTTAACCATCTCATTTCTCTAACAAAATACAATTTGAACGAATTAGTGGTAATTCGTTTAAGCCTCATACAGACAAAAGCCTGAGAGACTGCTTACAGTTCGAGGATGCCACACAGTAGGGGATTGTTACAGAATACACACAGCATGATACGGGACTATTCCCACCTCTCGTTGCCACCGCTGCAACTCCTGTGTAGCCAGGATATACAGCTTGAGTGTCAATAAAAGCCCACCGCCGCGGCGCCGTTCGACTATTGTGGTGAGCCCACTCGTTACACAAGCATATTTAGCTTACTACGAGGGGCTAAAGGAAGAAAAATCTTAAAAAAAATATACTTTGACACTAAGATCTGACTACTTCCCCCATCACGTCTTCAAGTGTGCCTAAAACTTCGTATATTGAAACAAGAGTGAGTCCACTGCTACTCCTCCTATTACGTCGCTCTTCTAATTCACTCTGGAGATAATAAAATTAGCCACTGTCATTTTATTTTGCTTAGACCACTCCACAGCATTATCTCCGTTTCATCTAAATGTTTTAATTTGTCTTTGCGTCTCGGGACCGGTTTGTTTGTTTTGAATAAAACAAGTTTCAAAATTTCGGTCTTCAGAAATTGAATAATTATGTTATTTATACACATTTTCGAGTAAGAAGTCAGCTAAATAGAAACATGAACGTAGGTATGATGTAAATTTTAATTAATATACTGTTAATTTAAACATCTTTGCAAGGTTAGAAGTTTTAATTATTTTATTTTAATAACACTTGTATCAGGCAAGTATAGAAATGTTTATTCACGACACGTATAGGTAAAATTAAACAATATACGAAACTAAGTTATTGGGCCAAATTAGAGGTGTACTTATTACGTCACGACGCGTGGAAACCATACGATAGAAAAACTTAATTAAATATTATTTCTGACTCTATTTGTCACAATCTATCTATACTACGAGTATATACTATTATAAGGCTGAAGAATTTGTATGTTTGCTTGAATGCGCTAACCTCAGGAAAACATATTTTTAGTTGAATAGCCCATTTATCGGGGAAGGCTTTAAGCTATATGTAGTATAACATATAGCCAATAGAGGCGGAGCAGTAAAGAAAAATTATGCACAAATGGAAAGAAATATTTAAACGCTTACAATGTCACGGGAACAAGTTGGCGATAAAAAAGAAGAAGCCTATAGTAGCTTAAAGACTAAAAAAAACAAGTATTTCATTTTCTAAAGATCCACGCTGTTTTGCGTCTCAAATAACTTGCTTACAATGTGGCGCTTTCTCGCCGTTATTAGACGAGCTCTGAGAAATGGCGACTAAAGTGTTATTAATATTAAACTCGACGCCACTAGCGAGCAGGCTGGTGTCAGCGCTTAATTGGCTAGGATTAATCTGTACAGCGACTCCCGAGGCTGAAGATCAACTTGGATGATCAAGCTGAATGCTGGTATTAGTGCTAGAAGTTACGCATGCCGCGTCTGTTTCTAGTTACATTGTTTTATGTTGACTTGTTGCTGGGGAGGCTAGTGTCAACTTGATTGGCGTTCAAAAGTTTAGAAACACTATTTCGTTGTTGTATTCCGGTTCAATAAACGTTTTCGAACTTTTAACAACTAAACCGCGGAAGCCAAGAAAAAACAAGAATCTATGTAGGTAGGTAATTAATGTTTGAAGTTGGTTTGTCGTTGATATGCCGGATATCGCTATTTTTTCGTCTTCAACTGTTTTTATGCTGCTCCCATTGGTGAAAGATTTACTTCTTGTTTTTTTTTGTGAAAATACTCAATACTTATTTAAACGTAACCTACTGAAAGATGAAAGGGAAAGAGAAAGACGTTGGTACCTATTCATACTGAAAAATGTTACTGTACAACAAAGAAAAAACTGGCTCATGGCCTTATTTTGGAGAATATATTAGGTATATATAGAATATGAAAGTCTCATAATATAATTCGGCTGTCTATTGACTGTCTCAGTGTAGGGGAACCTGTTGTACTTGGGCCAGTTTTTCGAATTTTGATTTTTTGAAAAATAATGGTGATAGTTAAACTTGTCTAGTGCAGTTATATTTAAAGATCATTTAATTAACTACATAATTCATTCATAAAATTGTGTATAATTTAAAAAATTGGACATACTAGCTGTTAGAAAAAAAAAGGGAAAACTGTCCTAGGTACAACAAACCAGGTGTACCTTGGACCGTGTACGTTGTACCTATTTAAATTTAAATAAATGCTTATATTCGCTTCAATTTGTTAATTTTCTGTTAAATTATTATTTGAAATACCAATTATTACAGTTATTAGCAACAATATCTAAGTAAAAGTATTTTTTTAAAAAGATCCTCATCCATATTTTTTGTACTAATTATTTTTCACAATTTTTTGGCAACAAATCACTTAAGTTTAAGCCGGCTCTCCAGTCCATGTTCAGCCTTACACAATCAACTAAAATATGACAATATTCAACATTTTTTCTAGAAAATTTTGTTGAATGTTGATATAAATAAATGCTTATATTCGCTTCAATTTGTTAATTTTCTGTTAAATTATTATTTGAAATACCAATTATTACAGTTATTAGCAACAATATCTAAGTAAAAGTATTTTTTTAAAAAGATCCTCATCCATATTTTTTGTACTAATTATTTTTCACAATTTTTTGGCAACAAATCACTTAAGTTTAAGCCGGCTCTCCAGTCCATGTTCAGCCTTACACAATCAACTAAAATATGACAATATTCAACATTTTTTCTAGAAAATTTTGTTGAATGTTGATATGTTATGTCGTGTAGGACAAAATAGGCGCTGTTGCAATCTAGTTTTTTTTATTTCTTATCATTTAACATAAATTCTAGCAAAATATCCATTAAAACCGCTTTATCAACAAAAATAATCTTAAAAAAGTCATATGAAGATACATTAAACGTAAATTTAAAAAACATTAGAAATTAAAAAAATACCTATCAAAAACAGACTTTAAATTGCTATTTTGAGGTCTTCGGGGCATTGTATCTATAACAGTATGATATGTTTTTTTTATTACAATAAAATTCTCATTAAAACGTATGAAAATCAGTGACCAAGGTACATCGCTAGTTGGGTGGTCAAGGTACAACATTGCGACTACTTCACTTAATAAGCACACTATACCCACTTCCATTTGAGCTTAGGATCTGAAACTCATATCGTCCAGTAGCTAGATATATAAAGATTATGTTCTAACTATAACCGTTTTGTCAAACATGCAACATTTTTCATAAATGGACATGAAGTAAACCTCCAAAAACTCACTGCGTCAGTGTAAAATATTAAATTACCATTTTTTCTTGTACTTGCACGGCGTCGGCGAATCTTAGCTAACTACACGTTAATGTTGACAAATAACGTATGTAATACCCTAGACAACTTTTCATAAAACCGCATAATTTAAAAAATATATACAATTGTTTTAGGTACAACTCTGTCCAAGGTTCAACAGGTTCCCCTACATTAGGTACGCTCGAGATCCAATATTTCATAATTAATTTATGACACAAATAAGCCAAATCAGCAATACTGCGAACTATTTGAATAAGATAAATGTAAATTGTGTTAGCGTTATCATGATTGATGCTAATCCACGTTTGATTTATATCAATTTGTACGAGAATTAATTATGATTGTAACTTGAGTACCTACCTGGAAATGTGAATTTTAGATAGTTTCTAATTATTTTAGATAGTACCCGTGGTTTCGCTCGCGTGGCTTGGAAATTTACAACATTTATTGCGCTTGAGAAAGCGCAGCGTAGGACGTCCATCCACAAGGTGGACCGACGACCTCATAAAGGTAGCAGGAAGGCGTTGGATGCGGGCCGCTAGCAATCGGTGATTATGGAAATCATTGAAGAAGGTTTATGGTCTTCTGGCTGAAATGATGATGATGATGATGGCATGAGAAAGTACCCAAACAAAATTAAGTTTCCTTTAAAATGTATTTTTAGATTTCTTTAAAGTTAATCCTAGGTCCTTCTTCTCAGGTCGAACTAATGTATTTCTACAGCAAAATTCATCAAAATGTGTTCAGTGGTGTAAGTGGGAACACGTAACAGACATACAGGGCTATTTGCATTTATAATATCTTATAAATGCAAATAGCCCTGTATCTTATCTATCTTTATAATAGTAATTTATGCAGCATGCCTTTATTCGGTTTTCCCCGCGGCGATTTTGATTTTGTGATATTATCTACATATTCCCCGAACAAATTAACTAATTTGTTGAATATTTGTGGTTATTTACAATGATTTGTTTCAACAACATATCGAAAATTACCTGAGCTTCGAATTGTAATGTTATTAAGTATATAGGCACATAAATGAGTAGAACACTTTGGTGTAAACAACCCAATGCAAACTGTTAATTTAATGTTAATTTTGATAATACTATTATCTACTCGTACGTATCTAACGTAGGGGAGACCGGGTACAATAGTACCACGGGTCAATAGTACCATCGGCGATATTTCTTCATACAAGCGACGTTAGATTGTGTGCATAGCGTCAGAATATGCGCTTTTTGTGTTTCCATCCGCTCACCAGTCGGCGGCGCTTGTGCTGAGAAACGAAGGTGTACAGGAAGGATTTTTGTTTTTTGCCCAGCCGCAGTAAGTTTTTATGTCAAATATATGAGCCCATAAGTTGCCTAATATGCTATTTGTTACCAAAGTATTGTTGTCAATAGTTTATCCAGGCTCTAAACTTTGTATTGACAGCGAATTATTGGCATTCACTGTGAAAATGACTGAATTTTAGGTGAAGTTCTCTTGACTACCTACTTCGAACAATTGTACCAGTCTCTATGGGGTCAATTGTAGCGGTACAATCAACCCCGTGGTACAATTAACCCCTGGAACCTTGTTTTATACATACTAAATAATATTTTAAATTGGTTTTAAAGTACCTATACTTATAATAAGATAAGTTATTATAAAACATTCACGTGGTTATTTTACATTTTTACAATTATATTTTTACAATTACAGGCATACCTACCTACTGAAAATATAGTCTAGGCTCATTCATAGTTGCATGCATTAAGCATTAATTAGATACATACTTAATGTGTTTTATTAAATAAGTAGATAAAAAGGTGATATAAGTACCTAAATGCCTACTTAAAATGTTTTAATATAGGTTTCTAAAACCCTTCTGAATATGTACATTTTAGCTTAATTCAGTAAGTAACTAAGTATTTGAACATTTTGTTTTAGATGCCTCGGCGTAGAGTCAAAAGTACGGATCGCGGATCAACGGATCTATTCCTTTATGAACAGGCTTATGAAAAAATCTTAAAAGGTCGAAGCAGTAGTAGGTATAAATAATCAGGGTCAATTGTACCAGGGGTCAATTGTACCCTCATACAAAAATAGATTTTTCAGTTTTGATATTTCTATCATTGTTATTATGCTTATTGTTGTTTCAGAAGCAATATCCGAGCCAAATAGATGGCATATTATGTAGAAACAGTTAGTTTATTCGTTTTTATGGAAGAAAAGTTATTGTGTTGTTTTTAAACTTAAGTGTTGATTTTTCATACTTGTTCCTAAATATTTTCGATCTCAATTAATAAAGACTGATGATTGTAGGAGATTAAGAGAACAGAATACCAATAAAGGTGATGATTAGATAAACATAACTACTTTTATTGCCTCATATATTATTGGTACAATTGACCCGTTGTAGGGGTCAATTGTAACATGAGACATCGTACAGTTCAAATTCATTTTTCATTAAGTATTCGAAATAATAGTTCAACTCTGCATGCTTAAATTTGTAGCTTAAGAGTCTAGTTTTTACAGCATCCTAACAGAATAAGTTACATTTCATTAGATTTCTCAATATTGAACAATTTCCAAAAAATGGTACTATTGTCCCCGGTCTACCCTACGAGTAGATAAACGTACCTAGTTTTAGATAGCCATAACAAAACCCATCTGAAAATACGTCATAATATTATTATATCGCAACTAATTTTAACTAAAAATATCTGCACTATACAATTCACGTCCTTGACGAAGGTAACAACACTTCATACTCGTATGTCATGTAAAGCATTCTTTCGAATTAGATGTTACTTCGTGAAAAAGTACAATGTATTTTATTGCAATAAATAAATAAATATTGCTTGCTTTTTCATAGAAGTTCACATTGCACAAGTTTGTTATACGTCATTATTGTAAAAGTTTTTTTGGAATGTCGTAGTTTTCATATAGGGTTGCCAGTATTTGTCTTATTTTCCCCGAACCCTGCTCTAATTTCTGGGAATGGCGGTGTCATTCCTTGGAAATGATGCCAAGTACACAATCGAGGACAAGAAACATGATGAATGGTCTCAAAGCTATCTCGAACCGACCGCCTTTGTTGAGGCATCTTATAATATTATGGAAATGTCCTTTGTCGCGATAACTTCAGGACTAGTTCTGCAGTTTAGTTTTTTTCTATCTTGAAATTGGAATTGAACAATGAGAGTGATATTAAGATGGATACGAAATCCGTTTAGTCCTCTAACTAGAATGCCGAATGCAGATGAAAACTTTCAATATCCACCTTAAAATAACGCATATTTAGGAAGGTTTACATAGGTCTAGGTTGGGCAGCGTTTTGCGATTAACTCATAATAAAATTACGTTTTGTATGTAAACATGTCTTGTGATAGTGCATCACATCGTTAGCCAAAATATATTTATCTGCGCAATGATGTTTTCAGAACTCATTGTATATTTAGCTCCACTGTTCAAATAGCATGATGATAAACCTAAGGCACAGAATATATCGTTGGTTCGATTCTTGGTCAAATGGAGTATTTGGCATTGACTTGTACTTATCTGGGTTAAATAATACCTTTGTCATGGCATACTGTAACGTCTCCAAGCATAATTTCTGATACTTGGATGTATTTTCCTTACGTTCTTCCAACTCCTCTTTGTTCTTCTGATTAATTTCGTTGCGGGTCAAATGACAATCTAACTTTTCCCCGGGACAAACTTGATCTTTACTGGTTGGGTTTTTATTGGCGGTCAAGCTGTAGATCCTGGCTACACAGGAGTTGCAGCGATCGGAACGAGAGGTATAGTCCCTTAATTTCCTTAACTTGGGGCGTTGTTTACCGTGGTAAATGTCTGCATTGAAACAGGAACGATTTTGGCTGCAGTTAGGACGATGGGTTGCTGAGCTTTAGCTATGAATATCACCAGGTTTCGCTTCATCTTTATGGGCAGGTCAACCCACGGCCCAGCGAACACTATTGTTGGAATCTTTAAGCTCTGTAACAAAAGGGAAACGCATATCATAATCAGACGTTCAGCTCGCGTTTATTTTTGCTCAAAATTTGGTTTCGAACTATTGTCTCCATTTACTACATGCCCGCTCTTCCCGTGGATTTTGTAAAAGGCAACCAAGTGACAAACTAATACCAAGAATTCCGAACCCACCTGGATATTGTCGGAAGGATAGGCCAAATCTAAATTTGCCAGATAAAGACCCAAAAATGAAATACTGACTTTCTAAAAAGAAAGACCCAGAACTATTGGGTGCCTTTATTTATCGAGCCCACTCCAGTGTGAGTGACGTCCATTCCAACAAACAACTAGTGGTGACTGAGTTTGTTTTGGCGTTTCTTCTCAGCACTTGCCATATGTTTGTCTCGAAGCGCTGGTAGGGCCCAAAAGATAAGGAGACATGTAAAATGCCCCCCATAAGGGCTACCTTTTTTATTTACTATATTTTGACGTTCATAAGTGCCACTTGTGGTTTAAATTGAATAAATATTTTTATTTTGATTTTGATTTTGACTTTTAATGGGAATTCTTGTAATGGCAAATTAAGCGAATTTGAAATTGGATCAGTTCCTAGGAAGATTAGCTGGAAAATATCAATTCATTTATGTATTACGCACAACCCACACAATCAGAATAATAATTACTTTGATTTAAAATTGTAAAAAAAATTTAATTTACTTTTTGGGAATATAATTACTTACCACAGTCTAAAAGAAGACTGTATCATTTTGGCTACTTCATAACACGTCCGAGCATGTGAAACTTGCGCCTTTACAACTAAAATATTCACAAATCCCTCACCTTGTGTGTAATACTGTTCCCAAAATAGCATTCGACAAAAAGGTTCCCTATGATGATGGATAAATACACCAGAACCCAAACCACCTCGGTTATATTATGTCTGGGCAACTCGATCTGCAATCAAAACAAAATTATGTGAGAAAACCTTATTTTGGACGGCTCAGAGGAAGAATATACATAATTTGTAGTGGATTAATGGTGTAAGGGGCACGGAAAATGTCCGCTTCTGTTATCCGGTTGTGTGCTCAGAAAATTTTGTTATGGGATATAACATACGGTTAGGACAACAAAAAAAAATTTGGTCACTTGTCCAACACAAGAAAAAAGACCCTTCGTTTGCGCAGCGCCGTAGGCTCGAAACAGAAGGAATTGAATTATATTTTGCAATAGAAATCAGTTACTTGTAGTGCATACGTGGGATCTCCTTTGAAATTAGAACTGTGCTGTAAATACATATTTGCAAGGAACAGTTTAGCTTATGATTTTGCATAGTTACTGAAATGATTTGAACGGCAGTTGTCCCGATGATGCAAGCGCTTACAAACAGATTCAATGACATCTGCCCGCTAAAAGTCGCTTGCATCGACTTTGTGAATCTGAAATGCAGAAAACACCTTTTTATTTAAGCTAACTAGTACCTACTTAAGAGTACAGAACTCAGACTTTTTAGTCGAAAGAACCTTTAACGCCTTGACCCCTAAGCTCCATGAATATTGTGTACAAACCTACAACATAAATACAATTAAATGTTGTTTATAAATCACTTCATCATAATGTAGGTACTCGTACCTACACGTGCGAGTGGAATGTTACGTTTTCCTTGTATAAATATTTACGATAGCATATCAAGCTAAATACACCCTCTTATCTCGTTGTAATAGAGGCTATTTTTCAACAAACATTTATAGCTGATGTGCCTAAATCAGTGTTCATCAGGAGTTACCATCCATGCGAATGGACATCAGTTAACAAAATAAATCAAAGCTGAATGTGCAGCCTGTGAAAAATCCAATTAATTACAGCGAAATATTCTAAGTACAATATAGGTCTTATTGCCGAGGGCGCACAAACATTTTCGCAAAACCGTTGAATTCGAAAAGTTTCACGCGAAATTCAATTGGGTAAATAAGCGACGTTCCTGCGAGCTAATGAGCGCTCTTTGTCAGGAAAAAATCATTCCTTTCCTTGGGAAAGTCAGCTTATTTTTAATGAAGTTAACACCTGAAAAAAGAAATGCTGAGACCAAAATATTTAAGTTATTGAACGGCGTTCTAGAATTGTGATGTGCTTTTGTTTTATTTTTTGTTATGCTCGAACTCCTCGATGAGAGTGTATTTTGTTTTGACAGTCTTTCTTTTGTCACCTTGATGCTGCTCGATGGATCGACGACTACAAGGAAACAAATGGCAGACTGGATGGAAAATGCAAGCATTCGTGCTCTAGCAACTGATAGTATGGATATTTAAAATGTCTGCACTGCTCATCTGGAAACCATTTCACAGCTTTGCTGCGCATCTTAGCAACGTTCAGCTCACAATATCGTTTCGGAGCTACACTACGTATCCTTTCGCCACACATTTTTTTGCGAATCTTTTGAGAAAAGTCAAAATATATTATAGATAGATCACCAAGCCTCCATCTTTAGGCATAATAAGAATTAGGAAAAAGCACTTAATAATTATAAAATAACGGTAAAAGCAGAGCAGTAAACGAGCGACTGGATTACAGTCACTAAATTCTTTAAATCACTAAACTCATCTTACATTTCACAAAGTCTAAAACTGAAACCAATTAAATATCCGTAACTCAATACCTTAAAATAGCAGAATGATGAAGTACGCAGCCCTTAAATATTATTTCGTAGGCATCGCTCTCGTCACAGCTCCTTTCCGCCTTGGTGATTTTAATGAGCTCTTTCATATTTTCTAATTTGTTGATTAAAACGTCCAATTGGCTATCTGGAAACGGGAATAAATCCACGGACATAAAAACGGGCCATTTGGCTTATTAATTCCCATTTACCTTGATAGATGAACCGGGAACCGGGATACGAAATAAGCGTGATTTTTACTTAAAATGATGGAGGAAGATTAACGACAGTGAAATCAGGAAAAAGTTAGATATTTATAACGAAACAATTATAACTAATGACACTTGAATACGTAAGAGCAAAACAGGAGAATGATGTTAAGCAATAGGCACCTAATAGGTCAGTACGAGTATTTATTTGTTTATTTATTTATAAATAAATAACTGGAAGAAAAGGACGACATCATAGTATGATCAATATACATACTTGCACAGCACATAAATGACCACGGATATACGTTTAAGGCGACGTAAGTTGTGATCATTGTCGGTTTGTACAAAATCTGAAATATAATAAATTACCGTAACATGTTATTTTCTTGTAATAAGAGCAATTTTGCAATATAAATGATGTAAAGCTGTTAAGCTGTCAACTCTAAAGTAGAGTTGTAACAGAGGAGACTTAACTGTCAGCTAGCTCGCAAAAGTGCGCATTTGGTAGCTCGACACTTGAACTAAAAACGCGCACTGTTACGAGCTCGCTAGTAGTTAATAAGTTCCAAAAATCGACAATGTCACAAGTGTCACAACTCTCCTCGGTCTATGTGTATTCTGCAACATGCACTGTTACATAAAAAAACCTGACCTGATATGCACAAACGTAATCAAAGTAAGCCGGATCATTTACATCAATGAATATAAAATCCATCTTCAGGGGTATAGTTTCAAAGTTTTTGAGTGATGGCACTACAACGACGTGAACTGAAAAAATAATAAGATGTGTGTAACATTAGCCACGTACATAGATTAAAATTGCGTAGTGCAAGAAATAAAATATAATTTTCAGGCTGTATTACCATAAAAAATTCAATCCCAAGATTTTTGGTCATTTTGATAGGTTGAATGTCAATACTTAATTTTATTATATCTGATATACAGTGTGAGTCACGTTAAAGTGTACATATGAAAATAGATGAAACTAGACCTATTTTTATCGACAAAAAAGAGGTCAAAAAATTTTTGACATTTTTTTTAATTTTTTTATAGAATTTTTTTCTCTTCCAATTACTTATTGTAAAGAAAACGTAATAACTTTTAAACTAAGCAGTATATCTTGATAAAATAAAAACAGTAATAATGCTAAATAACAGGCGATACTAAAAAAATACATACAATACACAAAAAATGCCAACAAGTAATAAAAAATGATACTTTTTGAAAAAATCTGCTTAAAAATTCGTGTTTTTTTGGTTATTTGATAAATTTCTCCAAAAAATGCCCCTATAACAGGTAGTTTTTATTGTTGTGTATTATTCTCTATCGTATTACCTTTGTAAAACCAAAAATTGCATGTCTCTATCCCTATCACAACATTTGCTATGATAGTTTGAACAAAGGCCTACCACAACATTATTCTCCTCTACAGGTAGGGACAATTTTAATTTTAACTAAAATGCTTATTTTACTTCGAAATCTTTTGTTTTTACTTGAAATCTAACTTGTCTTTATCAAAATTACAAATCTAGAGCCATTTTCACTTTCGTTGTTAACGAAGCGTTGAATGGCGCGCCCGGAGAGGCTTAGTTCAAACGATCATAGCAAATGTTGTGATAGGGATATCATAGCAAATGTTGTGATAGGGATAGAGACATGCAATTTTTGGTTTTACAAAGGTAATACGATAGAGAATAATACACAACAATAAAAACTACCTGTTATAGGGGCATTTTTTGGAGAAATTTATCAAATAACCAAAAAAACACGAATTTTTAAGCAGATTTTTTTCAAAATGTATCATTTTTTATTACTTGTTGGCATTTTTTGTGTATTGTTTGTATTTTTTTAGTATCGCCTGTTATTTAGCATTATTACTGTTTTTATTTTATCAGGATATACTGCTTAGTTTATAAGTTATTACGTTTTCTTTACAATAAGTAATTGGAAGAGAAAAAATTCTATAAAAAAATAAAAAAAATGTCAAAAATTTTTTGACCTCTTTTTTGTCGATAAAAATAGGTCTAGTTTCATCTATATTCATATGTACACTTTAACGTGACTCACACAGTCGTGAAATAGGTCTTTAATTAAACTTCTTGTGAAGTTTTAATACGGTTAAAATTTTCACGCTGCCCTTATATTAGGCAACCATTTTTAGCCCTGAAAACCCATCGAACTTCCTCCCTCGAATAATCTTCGCAAAGATATTTTGTTATTAAGTCACGCCCCCCTCAGCTTTTTAATTTAACTGGCGAAATGAACACGGGTAAAGTCAACAATAGACTTTACAACTTACCCAAAACGTCGAGGGCAGACCCGAGCAACAATCCACAGAAGAGGCGCCGCGAAAGTTTTACACCTTTCTCCAAAATCCTTTGAGTTTCGAAACAATTCAGTTGCTCGCTAATGAGCTGATCTGACAGTTCAGTAAGAACATCGCGGCGTAAGCGCAAGTCGAGCAGTTTGAACGAGCACAGCATTTCTGTTAGGACCAGGTTTATGCTGAAATTAAAATTGTTAAGTGTATCGACGTATCGGAAAACACGTCGTAAGACGTCCACCCACAAGGTGGACCGACGACATCATAAAGGTAGCAGGGAAGCGCTGGACGCAGGCCGCTATTGGGGGAGGCCTGTGTTCAGCAGTGGACGTACTATAGCTGAAATAATGATGATGATTATGAAGTGTTTCGACATTGCGAATCTGTATACCACTCGGCTTTGAGTAAGTATTACTACTTACATCGTTTCATCCACGAAGACGCGCTCCACCAATTTTTGGTCGAGGGAAGCCCGGGGTGCGGGGAGTTTGATCCGAGCAATCCGAGCTTCATTAGTGTAGTGTGACTGTGCACTCATGGATAATTAAGAATCAAACGAACTTACCTGTGATGTTTGATATCTAATTATACGAGTGTCTTGACCGAAGATGATTACGTTTTACATGCAGCAGTACCTGGGATGATGCCGTCCTTATCACACTTTTAGAGAATATTTATTTTAAAATATAAGTTTTAAATATAATAAAGTACGTGTTTTGACTCCTCAGCACCGTAGTACATTCCGCGGTCCGCCATATTTCTTGTCATTATTTTAGAGCAAATTTTTTCGATCGGTTAAGGGTAATTATTCTCGGGTGAGGTGGGACTGTAATCATCTTCGGTCAAGACACTCGTATAATTAGATATCAAACATCACAGGTAAGTTCGTTTGATTCTTAATTATACTTCGTATCTCTCCCGAAGATGATTACGTTTTACATGCAGATGTTTAGAGCATCGAAAAAATTACAACCGTAGAAACTATTAACTTGTTCAAGGTATTTTAGTATATAAACAAAACATTGTTTACTTTCGTAATAATTAATGATGGTTTTGAAACGAACAGTTAACAAAATCACAATCACACAAAAAGTTAAATTAAGTAAGTTTCTAGTCTAGTATCCACACACGATTAAGTCGGGACACAAAGTATTACCACGGAGGGTAGTTAAAAATATTCATTTTTAATACAAAAAATAGAAATTATTCACATTATTTCATAACAATTTCAAAATACACGATTCACAACTTACCAGAATGTTTTAAATATGTATGTATGTATGTCTGCAAATCTGCAGTGACTGCACGATGGAGACAACGATGTTTTTTTTTCTGATTCATCATCATCAGATAAAACTATAATTTGTCGCTGTCTATGTACATACCTACGAGGTTTCTTAACAAACTTTTCACCATATCACTATTATCACCATTACTTGATCGTTTCCTTTTACCCATTTTCACGCTAAGTTATTTTTCTTGAAAAAGTTCGTGTGAGTCGGACGAACACCAACACAAGTAATGACAAGAAATATGGCGGACCGCGGAATGTACTACGGTGCTGAGGAGTCAAAACACGTACTTTATTATATTTAAAACTTATATTTTAAAATAAATATTCTCTAAAAGTGTGATAAGGACGGCATCATCCCAGGTACTGCTGCATGTAAAACGTAATCATCTTCGGGAGAGATACGAAGTATAATTTAGCGTGTACCGATAACATTCAAACATTAGCGGAAGAATGGTGAGGCGCGTCTTCGTGGATGTAACGATCTACAAGTATAACTGCTTGCTTGGCGACTAGTTTATTCAGAATTATAATAACTAGCTGCCCCGGTGAACTTCGTACTATGTTCATCAGAAATAATGTAGGGTAATGTAGGGTACGTCGGCCGTTTGGTGTAGTGGTTCAGAACGGACTACTATGCCGAGAGGTCCCGGGTTCGATTCCCGGCCGGGCAGAAATTGATATGATGAATTTTAATTTCTGTGACGGGTCTGGGTGCGACTATGTATAATATTTATGTATTTAAAAAAAAAGTATATAAGTAGTAATATCCGTTAAGATAGCACCCATAACACAAGCATTAAGTTGCTTACTTTGGGGCTAGCTGGCGCTGTGTGAAATTGTCCAAAGATTTATTATTATTTATTATTACTAATGTTGAAATATTTTTTCAAATCGGTCCAGTATTTTCGACGAAGTCTATTCAATAGGTACAAACAAATTATCGATTTCTCGTAAAAAATGTTAAAAGTTGTTCCATAAAGACTTCTTATTATCACTTCTTATTATTCTGATATACTTTATTGGTATTTATTTAGTCTACCTTGTACCCATAATATAAAAGAAAATACCTACTGTGAAATACTAAATTTACTACTTCGTAGAAATATCTTAAATCCTAATCCTATTATAGTCAATAGTATTAATTACCAAGAGTATTAGGCTTTTCATTTGAAAGATATTGTATAAGTTATGAACCTAAGTACTATTTAATAATATTGTATTGTATTTCATTTTAAACGTAATTTGTACTTACGTCGCAGCAATTTCTTGAATTTCAGCTTTTCCAGATGCGAGCAATCGAACGATGTATATCAATTGAGTTAATGTGGGAATCACAAACACAAATATCCCCAAAAAAACGCGAATAGTTACAGCAAGCCAGAATTTGATGGACTTTTTTGAATAAGGAATGTAAAACCACAGTTGTAAGAACTTTATAGCAGACACTGGTAAAGAAATATGGCGGTATAGATCTACTTTGACGGGAGAATCCAATGACTTCATTTTTGAAAGTGATAGAAAATATAGTTTTTTTTTGTCATACTTAGCGTGTAATTATGTAAATTTGACTTAATGAACCTACTTAATGGATATTTAGTGGAAATTAAAAGGCAATCTTCCAATCAAATCTGAATTAACATACTTGACATATCAGTTTAATTAAAGTTACCTACATTATAGAAGGATCCACCTTCAGTATAGTTTGGTTTACGACAAGGTTTAAATTTGAATCGAGAACTGAGTTTTGTTTGAATATACTAGAATAATTTATTATATTCTAGACGTCCACTATCGCAATTTTTCTTAAACAGTTTGTATGACTACAAAAAAGTTTTTAACATTTCACGAAAACAATACCGGTAACAACCATTTATTTACCCCGTAAATCACTTCTCACTTCGACTGCTCCGATACAAAATCAATTTCTTTATTTCCCATCGATACGTTACTAGTTGCATCGTCAAGACATATCGATAAATCAATATTGTTATTATAATGAGCTTTTGGTACCAATGTTTTTTTCTGCTGAGCATAGCAATTCTTTTCATCACTTTCGCCCTTTTCTATTCACAAGCATTTTAGATGTTCATACAGATCGAAGATGCGCTACACTTATTCGTTGTTTACCTCCTTAAAATTTAAAATAGTGGTTGCTCAATGTTTATTTACATAAAAATTTTAGAGTTTATCACTGCCTAATGACTGAACTGGACTTAAAATATAAAAATCTGTTTGATATAGTTTAGTCCATCTTACAATTAACAATGCAGTCGAATACTTTAAAGTGCCACAAGTATAATGGGTTAGTATTGTACTTCAAATTGATACCTTAATTTCTATTTTGAATGTTTTCATTAATGAAAAGTATTTTCATCGATATAATTCTATCAAAAGTTACCCCTCAAATTCTCGATACGCTATCGACAATGGCAACCGAGCGACACTATCGATAAACAGATGACAAATTCCTCTTATTGGGTTCAGTTTCGGTTCCATTTCTCTATTCTATAAACGTTCCGTTCGGATATTATCGACAGAAATTAATTATTTTTACGGTGCGATGAACTTTGATTGGTCAGGTTTCATTGTTTGTTATTATTGTTCCACAACAAACTTACATCGAATACGGGGACTTTTGATTTCAAACATTGAATTTGAAAGAAAGAAAAAAATTTCATTTAGTACCAAGTAATAAACAATTTGAAACTTGTGGATTTGTGGAATGATAAAAATATGACAAAAATTGGTTCAAGCTTTGATTAACTTGTACGTGCTTGCACGCTGATTGAGCTGAATGATGATAGGTTTTGGCTCTTCTCTGTCATACGCAAGGTTTCATTTGCGTATATTTTCCGCATATTGCGTCATATTAATTGCACAATTGATACCGTTTCCACGATCGACCAAATCGATTGATATCTATGAAGTTTCTTGGAACGGAGTATTGCCAAGTAGCGCTTGAAATTACTTAGCAAGTCACTCGGAATACAAGCTAAGCGTAAGTTTAGAGTGGGAACGACAAAGTACCTATAATGGATCCTATTGACGCAGAGTATAGTGGGCCCTGTTAAGGTATACGTATAGGCATTCACGCAGAAGTAGTTGAGAAAAATAGCCGGGCAATGGAATGCTTTTCTTCGGAACTTTTAAATCACTTTTTTTCTCTACTTTAAGTAAGTACTTGTTGTGCTGCTTTTGGGATCTTGCAGATTATACTGATAAAATGTCCCGTCAGACCAGAAGACGTAGGTTGGGTAGGCTTCTCACTAAGTGGACCAATTCTCTGGTGAAGGTCGCTGGAAGGACCTGGGGAACGCAAGACTGGCCGTTGTGGAAATCTTTGGGAGAGGCATTTGTCTTCCAGTGGACGTCATTTGGCTATGACAATGACCTATAAGGTCATCCATGCGCGAGCGTCTTTTGTCTCAAACGAGCCTAAAAGTTTTAATAAGTTCATTTAATGGCAAGTCATCTTACACAACAAAATAAGCCCAAATAAGGACGTTCACGCTCATTTGGTTCTTGAAGCGTGAAATGTAGCGCCTACTCCTCGCGTGCTAGTCACCAAAACAACCGTAAAACGCAAATAACCGCTAATATGATTATGATGGGCGTGTTTTATAAGCTGTAAATAAGTCAGAACCGTGTAATTCTTTAAATGGACAGTAAGTACTGAAAATGGCATTACTTAACTTCAACTTTCATAGAAGATTACAATATATTCATGCAATTTGTTTATATTATTTTAAACTTATACTCGTACATAGTAGGTACATAATCATGCATTACGCTATCGCTTTTTGTATATAGGACCATAGTGCCTCGAAAACCGAATCTTTTCTAAATCCGTTCTAAAATTAGCCTTACCAGCAATCTGGTGAAATCACTTAAAAGTATGAAATCATCCGAGATCAATATCTGGAGATTTTCATTGCTTCGATAATATAAGCTTTTAAAAGTTCTCCAATAAAAAGTTGGCCGCAGCCGTTGAATGCAGGCGGCCATGAATCATTATCTGAACAGCCATGGGAATTTCCTATTTATTTATGTTTTCAGTATACATCTTCAAGGCTGAAGTCATAATAGTGTACTAACAAGTAAAACGAATAATATTTGAATGAACAATCTTTATTGTATATTCGTATAATAATGAACACATTGGAAATAATAATAATTATGTACATACTTACATTCCTTATTATATACTTATTGACTTATGGCATTAAGCTCGCCTTTTTGTACTGAACATTGTTGTGTGTGCAATAAAGTCTTTAAATAAATAAATAAATTCCTTCTCAATTTTGCAAATCGGTTACCTATGTGAATTTAACCTACAAAAACAATACCTACTGAACGTCTCGAATATCTTAGGTTAGTAATAGGTATTTTAAACGAAATTAAATCTTTAGCTTACAATAATCTCACGATCAACATTCAGTTAATACTTGAAAACGTGTTAAATTTCCCTTCTATGGTCTGAGGTTAAATCACCCAACTTACGCGTTAAAAACATCCCTTTCTAACACAGCCCTTCACCGATTGAGCAAGCCAATAATTATTCCAAGCTGGAAAACAAAGGGGAACGTTACAGTTTGCGATGAGGTCGCATCCCGTGGGACTATATGGAATAACTGGGGATCGGGCGCCGCGCCAAAACCGATCGCAGCGTTCCTCTTTATTTAGGGGCTAATGTGGACTGCACCGAGCCGCTTGTTCCCAACGAGTCACACCGAAACGAGTAACACTGGGAAAAAAACCGAACCAGTCACACTGTTTCTAGTTCATTCATTTAATACCTATAATATAAGACATTCAAAATGTTAAAAATACATTATAAATCAAAATACAAACCGATCGCAGCGTTCCTCTTTATATAGGGGCTAATGTGGACTGCACCGAGCCGCTTGTTCCCAACGAGTCACACCGAAACGAGTAACACTGGAAAAAACCCAACCAGTCACACTGTTTCTAGTTCATACATTTAATACCTATAATATAAGACATTCAAAATGTTAAAAATACATTTCGATGGGTGCCTGGAACAAAGCCGCAATCGACAAAACACAATTTTACAGGAGAAGAGATTTAGTGTCAATTTTGAATAATTCTAAACTACGAGGCGTATCAAAACGGTTTGTATATCAAACGATGCGTTATTTTTTCTGGAGTAACATTGAATGTGCATAAGGTTATAGTGCTTAGAATATACTTTAAAAAAGGTAGAAATACATATTGCCGCTTCATACATTGAAAGTCGGTTCCGTAAGAGTCCATTGTGGTTTTATTCCGGTAAAAAGTGTGCAATTAATCAAACAGCAATAGTGTATTGCAGCCTCGGGCGCTGATCTGAAGGATACAGTAATAGCCGTTTGCTTGTAGAAGAGTTAAATAAAAGTTTTAACATTGTATATGGCACGATTATTCCGGTCAACAAATTTTAAATGATGAATGGGAATAACGATTCAATATCCATAGTGCTTTTGGTAAATCAGGCAGTTTCAAAGATAAAATTCTGAAAAAAATTCAAAAGGTGTATAGGGACCCGCAGTTTACTAAAATCACTTAATCGGAAAACTGCTGCTATGGCTATTGCGGCTTTGTTCCAGGCACCCATCGATTTGAAATCAAAATACAAACCGATCGCAGACTTTTTCTTTATTTAGGGGCTAATTTGGACTGCACCGAGCCGCTTGTTCCCAACGAGTCACACCGAAATGAGTAACACTGGAAAATAACCCAACCAGTCACACTGTTTCTAGTTCATACATTTAATACCTATAATATAAGACATTCAAAATGTTAAAAATACATTTTAAATCAAAATACAAACCGATCGCAGACTTTTTCTTTATTTAGGGGCTAATTTGGACTGCACCGAGCCGCTTGTTCCCAACGAGTCACACCGAAATGAGTAACACTGGAAAATAACCCAACCAGTCACACTGTTTCTAGTTCATACATTTAATACCTATAATATAAGACATTCAAAATGTTAAAAATACATTTTAAATCAAAATACAAACCGATCGCAGCGTTCCTCTTTATTTAGGGGCTAATGTGGACTACACCGAGCCGCTTGTTCCCAACGAGTCACACCGAAACGAGTAACACTGGGAAAAAAACCGAACCAGTCACACTGTTTCTAGTTCATTCATTTAATACCTATAATATAAGACATTCAAAATGTTAAAAAATACATTATAAATCAAAATACAAACCGATCGCAGCGTTCCTCTTTATTTAGGGGCTAATGTGGACTGCACCGAGCCGCCTGTTCCCAACGAGTCACACCGAAACGAGTAACACTGGAAAAAAAACCAACCAGTCACACTGTTTCTAGTTCATACATTTAATACCTACCGACGGCACACTAACAAATACCTTTAAATGTGTACAAACAATAAACCATGTATAAATAGCAATAGTTAATACCAATAAATCAGATATCAACCGTCTGTCGTTGTGTCTCATTTCCCCCCGCTGCGGCCAAGACACCCTTAGCC